AAATTTCAAATCCCATAAGAAATTTTAGACTTTTATGTGAATTATAGTTCTGTACATTAAAATTGAATATTGAATGCTTTAAAAACCCAATTAAATAAAATTTAAAAGTGATAATATGATTAAGTCCTACTATATGTACGAGTTTATTTCGTGTTTATATTGCATTATATGTTTGCATCCAGTATGTCTGCATCAACAATTAACTAACCGCACAAAAACGAAAACCAAATAACAATGCCACAAAATGCAGACAGAGTTATTCAATACCGTACGGATTAAATATTCTTATAACCAGGAACACAAATAATCCGCTAGTTTCAATTTATACAAATATTATATTATCTATGTCATTGAAACTTTCAAGCTTTCAATATTTCTAGTAGTCCGAATCAACTGCTAGTTCAGAGATCGGAAAATGAAAAAAATTGAATGCTATCGCATATTTCACGTATTCTAAATTAATTGGAACGTGAAGTTTGTTTTATGGCACTGATATCTTCATGATCAGTTTCCTAATTGAGTCAGTTAATTACCAAATGCAGTGATTAACCAATGACAGTTAATAAAAATAATCTGCCAATTTTAATTCATGCAAATCTTCACACAATACAAATAATTCACCAGTTTCAATTTATGCAAATCCTTGCATTGTCTATGTCATCGAAACATTCAAGCTTTCACTATTTCGTAATAGTCCCAAAGCGCATTCATCAACTACCAGTTCAGAAATCGGCAGATGAGAATTCAAGAGGGAAAAATATAAAAAAATAATGTGAAACGCATAAATTAAAAACTGTCCGAGCCTTTGGTCCTTTAATTCCAACCAATCTGAAATAAAAAGCTTTCATTCGAGCATTTCTACCATTTCAAAAATTCTGTACTACGCGTTGTTCACTGTATCGATGGCATACATCATTTGGTTCAATCTTCTGCTATGTATCGCTTCAGTTCAAAATATTCCAGGTAAGAAATGCTCATTCCATGCTCAACGGAAGGTCACAGTAAGGGCATACTTTGGTAAACATATGAAATAATCACAAAGTTCATCAACTGCTAGTTCAGAGATCGGAAAATGAAAAGAATTGAATGCTATCGCATATTGCACGTATTCCAAATTAATTGGAACGTGAAGTTTGTTTTATGGCACTGATATCTTCATGATCAGTTTCCTAATTGAGTCAGTTAATTACCAAATGCAGTGATTGCAAAACAAATTATAGACACAAATGTCATAACAGTTGTTTTTCAGATGTGAAAAAGTATGGGTGTCCACACGCCGACTGTAATGCGACCATGCAGGACAAAGACGAATACGACAAACATTTCCAAACGCACGATGAACCATTTCGTTATCAGTGCAAACCTCCCGGTTGTGGGAAGGAATTCCACAAATCATATTCATTTTCCAGGCAGAAGAAATCCTGTCAACACAAACCTCGAGGTGGGAATTTCCCCAGTTTTAAGAAAAAGAGAAATATTCCCGCAGAGCCTCTTAGTTTTGCAAATTCGGCAGAGTTTTCAGCATTTATTTGTTTACCTGAAATGGATGCATGTGAAATTATATTGACGAAATATCTATGATTATAGAGGCACTTCCATTAGCACAACGGAGTACATCAAACAAATGTTCGTTCTAGTCCAACGAAATGAAATCCGCATTTGGGGCATGCTTTGGTAGATACATGAAACCATCACATTACCGGTCAAATTTCATTAGGACAACAGAACTATTCGGGCAATGAGTATTTCTTAGGAAATTTTATCATCATCCGTAACAACTTGGATTTAGCACTAGCTGCCTCAAATACGAATGCATATTACAGTGAATGGGGAAGTACTAATGGACAATTAACGGAAACAAGCAGTAGGGAATTATATAATAACATATCGTTTTAATTCCTTTCACTTTACTGCTTTTATTCAATTGCATGAAGTTGAAGCTATAAGTTATAAAGAATTCCAAATCCGAAGCTGATCTCATTGCAGCGAAAATCATAGAATTAACATTTTGGTTTTTTTTAAAAAAAAAGTACTTTAAATGAAATGAACAACGTCTCGTAATTTAAGTTACCCTAAATGTGATTTGATAGGTCAATGATGCTAATACAGCATTTTTCAAATTATATTCTTTAACTAGCGCATAGAATGGTATTTTAAAACACAAACGTCATATCAGTTTTTCAGTCGGGCAAAAGCATAAATGTCATTATTGTACTGCGACTATACAGATGGGAAAGGAATATTCAAAACATCTTCAAACGCACAAGGAACAAGGTTTATATAAGTGCACTTGGCCCACATGTGGAAAGAAATATCGTACCGCAATGGCACTTCGACAGCATTACGAGAAACATCAACCTAAACTTCTATGTGAAATCTGTGGCTCTTTCTTTTCTTATATGAGAGCACTACAAAAGCACAAGAAACGATGCCACGGAGTTAGAGGTTAGTTTTGCAAAGTTTTTAACGTGTATGTTCACATAAAAAAGTGTTGTAAAACACCAACGGCAGTGAATTACAATTCAAAATTCAATATTTACTGCAATGTTTTTCTGACTTAAGCAGACAGCTGCTTGTCGTTTATCGCAGCGGGTGTTTGGCAGTTACTGATATGACAATGAACGGGATGGCAGAATTCAAGCAATTAGCTCCTTACAGTCCGATGAATTTAAATGGTGTTGACTGTTGAGAAATTTGTTTTTCTTTTCTTTGTTGAACTCGTTTCTCGACGATACAGATTTATTCCGGAGGTAATATTGTTCTTGTACAATATTACTACTTGTTAACAACAGGAAAAAGAGTATAAAATATGTATGTATGAATTGGTAAGCAATGATGAGTTGTACAAAAAGCAAGTAATATGATCAACTAACAAACTCCTTGCCGTTGCCTTGGACAGTAATTTGATTGTCGGTTAGTTGATAGGCCATTGAGTTGGAAATACGTTACGGGAAATGTATTTGGTGAATAGAAGAATATCATAGTTTGTTGTCCAATGGCGCGGATAGGCGAAGATGTAGTCGCTTGTAGTTTATACGTGGAGGATAAGCGAAGAGGATGTATCGTCTGCTGGTTTGTAAAAACTGAGCTCTCTAGGATTCTTTCACATATATATGTGTAAGGATTAGGGAGGAGCTTTCTAAGCTCCATCTAAGGTACTTACAAAGCTGACAATAATTTCACTCATACAAGAGAGGTTTACATAGAAGATTAGATTTCTTTGTAAGAAGGAAAATCGTCATAAATCATCTCAACATCAGTGAAAAAGATATTTTTACCGATTGACCTTAGACAACAAATTGACCTCTAACAAAGAAGAAATTATTTACCAATTTATACAACAAATTGTTTACAACAAATTCTTTAGCTATTTGGACGTATTACAATTTCCTTCAGTTTTTTCCGATACTAGCTTTAAATTTCGGTAATCCGACAGAAAATTTGCATTAGGATTTTGGGAGTTTTTCCGATATTGACAATGTTGATAATAACGTCATCACAATAATGGAACAAACATTCTATTGTATTCTTTTCTATGTTTTCATCGGTTTTTTAACGCAAGTTTTTTAAACAAATGACTAACGCGTGAAAAAAAGTACCTAATTCGATCTATGAAATCAAACGGCCGGTGACCACTTACTTCGTTTGATTTAATGAGATAATTTTAGGCCCCGTGGAATGAAATCCCCATTTGGGAGATACTTTGGCAGACATACGAAGCCATCGCATTGCCGGTCAAACTTGATTAGGTCAACAAGATGACTCGGGGAATGAGTATTTCTCAGAAAACTTCACATCCTCAACAACTTGGATTTAGCATTAGTTGGCTCAGATACGGTTACATATGTAGTAGATGGGGAAGTATTAATGGACAATTACCGGGAACAAGTAGTAAAGGATTATATAATGATATATCGTTTTAATCCCTTTCACTTCACTGCTTTCACTCAATTGCGTGAAGTTGAAAATACAAGGAGTAATTAATCTTAATCGAAGCTGTTCTCGCCCACACAAAAAAATCACAACCATCCGTTGTACGAGATTCCATTAAATGTAACATTAAGACTTTGATTCTGTGGTAAATATAAACAAGAAAGCGAATAGTTCCGTGTGTTCTAAATTAATTGGAATGTGAAGTTTATCTTATGGCAATGATATCTTCATGATCAGTTTTTAAATTGAGTCAATTAATTACCAAATGCTATGATAGAAAAACTAAGCAAACACAAATGACACAACAGTTGTTTTTTCAGATATGGAGATATATACGTGCCCACATCTTGATTGCAATGCGACCATGCAGGGCAAAGGCAAATATGAGAAACATTTCCAAACGCACAAGAAACCATTTCGCTATCAATGCAAACATCTCGGTTGTGGGAAAGAATACTACATCAAATCATCATTTTACAGCCACAAGAAATCCTGTCAACACAAACCTCAGAGTAAAAACTTCCTCAGTAATAAGAAATCATTGAAAAGTCCTGCAGAGCTTTTTAGTTTTGCAAATTCAGCAGAGCTTTTAGCATTTATTTATCAACCTGAAATGAATGAACAATGAAGTGATATCTAAGCAATGTTCATTCTAGACCCAAGAGAAGGAAATCCACAGTTGGAACATATTTTGGCAGACACACGAAATCATCACACTGCTGGTCAAAGTTCAGCAAGTCAACAAGATCACTCGAATGATGAGTATCCCTCAGAAAAATTTAACATCTTGGACTATCCCGATGATGACATCTTCAACTATCTTAACATCCCCGACGATGTTGTTGTTAATATCGAAGATATTAACATCGACAACTCTAATGGTAATATCTTCGAATGTTAGCATCGCCGACGATGGCAACTTCCTCGACGACTTCAAAATATTTTGCCATCAATGAAAATTGTCTGCTTGCAGTATATCAAAACTATTTATCTCTTCTCTCCGTATATAAGTTTTATAGTAAGAAAAAAAATTTTGGTTTTAAAATTCAACTTTCTTTTTTTACCTTGGGAGAATTATCTAAGGATTTTATATGAAAAAGAATATATAAAAAAATTTTCCATTGGAGCTTTGATTACATTCGACGAATGCTTGCACTCCTTGGCGAAATTTCGGAAATATCAAAAATATCTTTAACCAGTTTTGATAAATGCTTTGATGAAGTAATTTGTCTGTTATAATGATAAAGAATTGCTTTTAAATCTTGCTTATACAAATCTGATGTCATTAGTGAATCCGTTATGAAGGAATTAATTTGTCATTCTGGATTGTTGTCGGTT